AGGGAAAGTGGGTTGGGACCAAGGAGGAAAGATAAAATAGTAAAGGAAGCTCAAAAAAAGCCAAAAGAATGGAATACAGAATAAGACAGACAAACATTTAAGAAAAAAAAAATAGGGTAGGGGAGAATTCATTTAGCAAGTAAAATATGAAAAGGGAAAAACATCCAAAAATGGGAAACTACATATGTTTTTGGACCTTCCCTTTATTGTCATTGTTCCTTCAAATCAGCCTGGGTATTCCAGCCAATATGTAGTGGCTGAGGAAGCATCTGATTGATAAAAAGAGTGGGATAAACGTCACCATTTTGATATTACGTTATACTACTAACACTGGTGTACAGTGTAGCATAGACATACTTGACCTAGCTTTAAAGTAGCCAGGTCAGGTCCCGCTCACAATCTGGCCATGACAGCACAGAGCTTGGCACAAGCTACGAAGACAGACTACGCAGCAGAGCAAGAACTCAGGCTCTTAAACCAAATTGAGCCTTGTACTGCTGACACTGCACTGCTTGAAGTGACCCAATCTAACTTCAAAGACAACTACCCTGCAGTTGCAGTAGTTCAGATACCACCTTGAATAACCAGCAGTCATCAGGAAGTCTCAATTGCAATGACACAAATATCCCAATTGCAAAGAAACTCCCACGCATTTATCTGCTGCATTTACACACACACATAAAACTTAATCACAGTTCACAAGAACAAACAGATAAAACCTGGCATGAAAATGTTCCAATCAGAAATTAAATGACAGTTCTTAAACACTAAAATGGGATGTTCCTGGAAAGCTTTTCAACAGCAATAGTGGTTATAAAAGAAACATAATTGCTGGTAAGATGTTTTTGAAAGAGGTTATGTAACACAATGCAGGCAATAACAGGGAAATAAACTTTTATTAGGAAGTTCTTCTCTATCCCGTACTCTTTCACTCTTCCCTAGGAGAGCCTTAGAAGTAGAAGAGCACCACTAGCATCCCATCTCAAGGAACGCAAGTTATTATTCATTATTTTTCTCTATAATTCCAAAATAAAGGGGTTTATTACCCATCTCCTACCTGTCTTTTTAAGCTTGAGGACTGCACTGGTGCATTCTCCTCAAACTTGGCCAGTAGCTGCGTTGCCATAGACTTGACTTTGTTCTGATTCCCAATGGCAGCATCAATTCTTCTCTCTGTCAGGGCACTCACCAATGTGGGCCTTTCTTCTCTGTAGCTTCGTGGGATGTCCTCCTAGGAATCAGTGATACCAAAATTTAACAAGGTGCAACCAAATCACCTTTTCCTCTTTATCTCTTTGCTGTAATAGGTTTCTAACACTGTAGAAAACAAATTAGTCTCTACTTAAAAGCTCACATTAATTTCCTTTGGCATGTCATCAAAAGTTCTGATAAACTTTACTTATCTTTTCAACCTTATTTGATACACTCTCTTACCAAAGAGACTACAGTTGAAACACTCCCATGAACGCACTGACACAAAGCAAAGGCCTATCTTCAAGTTGAAAATTGACAACCCAATGCACTAAATTTAAACTCACTTGTACCTATTTTGCTATAAACATTTCAAGTGAAGGACTGCCTCATGAGGCATACTAGAAATGTGTGCTTTTTGCACTAACCAAGGCCGAAGTGTAAAGATGAATGAAAATTCTGACTATACTGCATGACTTCACTGACTGAAAATCTTATTCTTGGTGCCCTCATCAAATCAAAGTAAAAATAAGAGAACTGCAACATCTGTGTACTATTCCTTCATAAGCACCAGCAAAATATTTGCTCTACAGCTAGAACAAAACATAACCTTTGAAAACTAATTAATTTTTACCTAAAAAAAAAAATCTTATATAAACCCTGTCTCGATATAGAAAATTAAAGGACTGAAGTGGAACAAGGAACCTACCCCACATGTTTTCCTCTCTGACACCTTCCTCACTGTAATACTTACATCCTCAGATTGGCTGGTTTTTCTCCTCTTTCCTGCACCATCCAGTTCCTTTTCTTTTTTGTCCTGAAAATGGAAGGAGGAGGGGGAAAAAAAACCCAAAAGTAAGGATTCTTAGGAATTGCTCTTAGGAATCTTTATCTCTAAGGAGATAAATGTCATCAGTGCATTTAAATAAGCTTCGCAACACAACTCACTAATTCTCTGGGCTCATTCTCCATTTGCTTAAGGGGATTCTTACCTTCTAATTGGACATTGCTCAAGAATTTCAACTAATTGGGACTTGAGCAACCTGTTATGTTTCAGTGCAAAATATATCCCCAGATACGACCACAAGGCTAGGATTTTCAGACTGGAATATACCACTAATTGAGAGTACATATTACAGATGTAATTCTGCAGTTATAAATGTCATGTATTGTCCCATGCCAAAGGCCAATGAACATGTGATCTTTTGTAAACACACAGCAGATACACATTTATACATGCATTTTTAGTACCACCTACTGGGACAGCAGCCTAATGGACACAAGTGTTATGAAGACTGTGGTATGGTTACCTTTGGAGTGCGTTTCCGAGAGATGCTTTGTCCCAGTTTACTGAGAAAAGAGATGGGCGATTTGGTACTGGCAATTAGGGCAGCTTTTTCTTCTGCATTCAGGTCCAGACTATCTGTTAGCAAAAACAGGTAGGACAAGGGAATGCCAAGAAATTACTTCTGTGGTGCTATTGTTAAATACACAACTGAAGGACTGACTGATTTTTTTTAACATAACACTGTTTCTTAAATTCTCTGTACAGAATGATTGCAATGTCCAGAATGAGTACTGTTCTCAGCTACTCTGCTTCTTCATTTTACCAAAATCAATTATCCTTTCAGGATTTATAACCACCCAGCAAAAATACTGTTTGTTTACTGTATCCACTTTCATATTTAGAGCATCATGATCATCAGTATTCTTAAGAAGAGTTCACAGTTTTGGAAAAAATACCTGACACACATTATATTTTGAAAAGTCTATTAAACACTTTTTTCCCCCACCAGAGGAATAGACTTGAATTAAGATCATCAGTAATAAAGAACAGCTACAACAACATTATTAATATTTAAAGGTAAGACATATTGATTTGTGATAGGCAATTATATCTTTCAGTTCTAATGAAAGATCTTTCATTCCTCATTGACCTGAAGTTACTCTCACCATTCAGGGATGGTAAACAGATATAAAACTTGACCAGTGTTTTGAACTTACCTACAAAACAACTACTAGCAAGGTATCCCACATTAACCAAGACAGATGAGCCTCTAACAACAGCAAGAAATCATAAAAGTTACCTAGTAGTGTTGAGGCGAGTTTAGAACTTTTGAGGATAGCGTTTTGAGAACATTATTTTGTATTATCTCATCTTTTTGCTCCTGATGCTGCTAACACAGTCTTTATCAGCACCAATAAGAAGACAACTTTTGTAGTGTAAAGTTAGTGAGTGCCTAGTGTAGTTAGTTAGTGAGCTTATGCAGAAGAAGCGTGAAGGTAACTGAAGCACACACATTCATCCTGAAGCTGTCTTTAAATTTGAGAGGCCTGCCCCAAACTCCTTACCACTAGAGGGGATGGTGTCTTTGAACATCTCATAGAACTGCGTGAGGTACATCACCATCGACAGCTTATCTGGCTCTCCGACAGATGCCATTTCCTTTCCAGTCATAATGGGAGATATTCCAAACTCTTTTTCTGCGATATCAAAGGCCAGCTGGTTATTCTTCTCCACATTGTGCTCATCCAAAGAATCAAAGTCTCTGCAAAGGGCAGAAAGACAACATGCACTGAATCAAGTAGAAACCAGTTTTCTGAAAGAACTCAGGGATCCACCTCCTACTTTTTTTTTCTCCTCCAAAATCTCTCAAATTTATTTGCCAGCAACCTTTTTGTATTGCAGAGTGATGATATTTAATTATAGTGAACTTTGGCTCAAATGTATTCCTCTTTCATTTTTTGCTTCTCTTCCATACCCAGATTTTTCTTCTTTAAAACTTTTATTATATTCTGAAATATGTCTTTACTTCCTCCTTTGCTGGAAGACTGTACTGTTTCCCCCTGTGTAAAATCTTTTGGGTGCTTGGAACCAAATTAAATCTTCACTTTTGTCCCTTTTTTTCTTGACTGACACATATTTTAGTTTTGCTGGCTTTTCCCAAAACTTGTAGAACTATGTAAAAACTATATATAAAAAAGCTATAAAGCTATAGCTTTTAGAGAGTCATATAAACCATTTTAAAAGCTATTCGAACTCCCCACAAGCTATGTAGTTATTAAAACACAGTAGCTCAGGTTAACTCAAGTATACCAAAAGAAAAGTGTTTTGGTGCACATGGAAGGGAATAACAAGTAGTTTTTCAGCATGCTGTACATTGTATGATGTCTTTAAGTGCAACTCTAGTGTTTATTTTTTCTCATGTCCCTTTGGGAAGTTGAAGACATTTCAGATTTCAATTAAAGTATCACAGCCTTTGCTCCTATTACTTCTTCCAGCCAGTGTTTTCCAATTCTAGAATCTGGGCACTGTTTTACCCAATATATCATGTAAGAGGATGCCTCTCTCATTCATCCTATCAGTATGTTAGTGCACTAACAGTAGCAACGTCTCTATTTAGACTGTGGGTCACTGCTTCTAAAAAGAGCAGGCTAAAAGTCTTTAAAAAGAGTTACTGTTAAACAGGAGATTTATAAAGGGCTGTGTAGAGACTTGATCACGAGAAATTTAATTGAAGCTATGAACTATTCCTGACCAACTTTACAGAGAAGAGAGCTGTCAGTCAATAATGGTTTCCAGTCATTACCAACTTGAAGCTTAATTCTGTCAAATCGTCCAGAAGAGAAAATGACAACACGTTTATCTTCATATTCATCAAGCTATTATGACCTTCCACTCTGCTGGTGAATCACCATCCATTAGCTTCTACCAAGTTTAATTGAATTCATTTCAATCCATTTCTCTATAAGTCACAATTGTGTTGCCTCAGTCTCCATCCTATTTGTTCCAAATATCACTAATGTTCTGCTCTTGCCAGTTATTCAAAACAGCCCCAGTTACTCACATTAAGTCTGGACGGTATCGGTGGATAATGGCACACAAAGCTAGGCCGCTTTTCCATGACATCGTGAGGTCTGTCACGTTAACACCAGCATATCCGTCAGTCTGCCTCTGGCACCAACTGAGCAATTTACTAGAACGAGCTACAGACTCTGTAAAAAAGCCCAAACATTTTAAAGTAGAAATGTACATCTCTGACTTCTAAAACCAACATAAAACCCATGAATCAACAAAATCAAACTTTTATGTAAATAACAAGCTCCTTTTACAATGAGCAATACAGAACAGTCTTTAAAAAAAAAATTAAAAATTACCTTATCTATTTTAGATCTAAGAAAGGATTTTTAATTTGCTAAAAAGTAATTATCCGAGTTATAACTTGCCAGGCTTTTTAGCCTAACCCTTGTAAAAGAGCCCCAGGGATTATAAAACGGTCGCAAAAGCTTGTTAAATATGATCAAAAGGATAAACAGTAGCACAATCCTCCCTAAAGCCCAGATATACTATTTCTAATGGAAGAACTAGGAGTGTACTTCTGCAACTTTTTCTTTTCTCTTGAAAGCTTTCCTGTAAAAGCACTGACCTGTTCTGACCTTGCCTTACTGCAAGATCTGACAAGATTACAGCCTAAGGGGACATGGTTGCAGGGCAAAGAACAAATCAGAAGACTACACAGCTATTCAGCAGTGCAAGGCAGGCTTAGCAGCAAAGCACCATTCTGAGAGTTCCCAGACACTACTCTGGACATACAAAGGCAAGGTGTGCAAAAGGAAAAGTTCAACATTCCCTTCAGGGTACAGGACAAGCAGACAGATACTGAATTGCTTATCACAAGGCATCTAACTTTCAGAATAACGCAAGCAAAGTGATGTTTCATTTAGTTAAGCTAAAAGATGAGATAAAGAAAAGCATGAACATAAAAGACCGCACAAGAAATGCCTTAATTTTTTGGTGAGAAAATTGTAAGAATTGTTTGCAAGAATTCTGAGTGTTATATTACACGTTAGAGTGAATGCAGGCCAAGCTTCTGCAGTCTAAGTAAGGGCATTGTTATAGGATAGAAATGCTTATATAAGAAAATATGCTTAGAATTTCAACAGTGTTATAAAGCAAGGGAAATTAGGCAACCAAAAAATTATTTACATGTTAATTAAAGCTTGAAAAATTGGAAAAACAGACTATTGACAAAACAACTGCTGGATACAATTTTCTAAACCAAAGGATATTGGTTAAATAATACTCTACAGGCTGGTGCTCTATGTTTCCTGCAGTGATCCAGCTTCAGAATACCAGAAGGAATAGAACAGTAGCCAGGCCTACCATTCCGAGTCAGCTTTGGTGTCCTGGAGTTCACAAAGTTCTCTATTTCCAGGTGAATGTCTTTCAGGTCTCCTGTATTATACAAGTGGCGTACCTAAAATGACACACAAAAAAAGAGTTACCAACATGTCATGCACCCAAGATTCATACAGAAAGAGCCAGAGGACAAGAAGGAACTATCCCGAGGCACAAAAAGGAAGACAAGCCCACTTGTGTAACAGAAATCTCTAGCCAGAATAACAAGGATCAGCTCATCAGTGCTCAACAGTCTAGTTGACTGCTGCTGCTCAGTGGATACCAAATTGCAATGACAGACTGCTGTACTAGATAACTACCAAAAAAAACCCCATGCACACTCACACAAATGGGGCTCTGAGCAACATGATCTGATAACACTGTCCCTGCTCACTGCAGGGGGGCTGGACCAGATGATCTTTAAAGGTCCCTTCCAACCCAATACATTCTATGATTCTAAGTATATAGATTTCATGTATCATTACAGCACGGTTAAAACTATCAAAATCAAAAATTCCTAAAGAGAAATTTGTTAAAGTACAGAGGTCTACTCTTGACTGATATATCTGCTTTTCACTGCTTCCATGCCATACTGCCACATCAGGTCACTAGCTGTTCCCGGAGCATTGGCATAGCTTCACCTATGGAAAGACAATGCAGATTGCAAGCATTCAGAAGCACCAATTGTTCAGTTACCTGCTGTGGCCGCAAGAAGTTGACGTTGATATTGGGATACCGGGTGGCGGGATCAATGCTGTAATGGCTGAAGTTTTTACTCACATTCTCAGGGGTGGTCTGAGGCAGTAGCCTATAAATGCTTTCCCTTGGGAAAACAAAATTGAAAACAAGTTTTGGGTTTTGTTTTGGTTTGTTCATTTGCTTTAGGTTTTGTTGTGGTTTGGGGGTTTTGTGTTTGTTTGGTTAGGGTTTTTTTGTTTTGTTTTGCTTTGGGGTTTTTTTAAGAGATGTATCATTACTAATACAGCTAAGTAAGTACTTGAGAAATAAAGATTCAGATCAGAAATCTAACCACTTCAGACACTGACTAGATAAGATTCAGTAAAAATATATTATAATCAGTATTTTAATACAACTCCAGAAACTAAAAGAAGGGATGAAAATAATACATTAAGCATAACTGAAAGGGTTCCCCAGTACAATAAAGACACTGAGACATTGCAGCAACTCAGAAAGAGTGCCACCAAGGGGACTGGAGCACTTGTCCTGTGAGGAGAGGCCAAGAGGACTGGGTTTGTTCAGCACGCAGAAGGCTTAGGTAAGCTCTTGATGCTGTCTGTGAATAACCAATTAAAAAGTGATGGAATTCTGGCTCCAACTGTATTTTTTTTTAATTTAAACAAGCAGACTTTTAGATATCTATTGTGTCATTTATATGTTCTTTTAAATTATACTATAGTTCCTGAGGGTCAGCAGCTGTAGTTGCTTAAGTTTAAAACAGTTCTATTAACTTTTACTTACTCCATCTTTCAATTACCTGAGTTCTGATCTCTAACAGATCACCTTGAGCCACGAAAACAACACTCAACCGAAGATGATAAAAGCATCAAGAACTCAGTACTTCAAAGAAACACAAGATGTGGTTTGGCTTATATGAAACAAAGTGACCAATTTAGGAGAACATAAAATAAACACAGGTCATAGCTTCCTTAACAGAAAATCCTAAAAGATACTTACAAGATAATAGAGGATGGCAAGAATTTTTGTCTCCGGTACTTTAAAGACAGCTACATCTTCATCTGGTTTGCTATTGCAAGGCTGGTGACAGTAAGTCAGGCTCACACTCTACATGTAGTACCAATAAGCACCAAAAAGAGACTCTTTGTCTAATCTGCTTTTAAAACTAGGACCAAGTACAGCTACAACATTTCTTATTCTTCTATAAATATACTTCAGTTTATCAGCCCCTTAGGAATTTTTTTCTTCAATTCAATTATTCCCACAAGCATCTTCTAAACACAGTAAGAATCTGTATCTAAAAGGAACTGGAATGAATGATGAGATGTTGGAGAATTAGATTAGAACTGAAAGTGTATTTATTTTCTCTATTACCTCTCTGCAAGAACTTCCAAAGGACTAGCTCCGAGAGACCAACTTCGTACCATCCAAGCAGAATCCATTGCAGCCAAAAATCCCCTCGCTATTCCAGTTCCCATTGGCCAAAATGGCTAACATTATAGTTTACAAAAAAGAGAAGAGAAAGGAAAAGCATCAGTTAGGGAAAAATTTTACACATATATCAAGAATATATTCAGATGGTAATCTGCTGGGAAATTGTATCTCAGTAATTAGCTTAAAGCTGTACTCCCACTGGGCTAGAGGAAGCCAGATGTATGGTGAACTGCCCATGAGCTCCCTGAAAGCCAAGACTCCTCTATTTCCAACAGCAATTCATAGCCTGGAGTGCCTTAACAGCTTCTCTTCCAAGATTGTACTTTTCAACCAACTACAAAATTCTAAGTATTAACAGACATACTGGAGGTTCTGTAGAGTGTCTAATGGTCCCAGTAAGAAGCAGATGGAACAGATATAACTTCAGAAAAAATCTCTGCACAAATTTTCTTAAGTAAGATCATTACCATTCTAAATATTCTGTTTTCCCAACACTCCCACCCTTCCTTCAAACCTCCCACTTTATTATATAATAAACAGCAGCTTTTTTTATATTAGCTATCTTAGAGGCAGCACATATTTCAGTGACGGGTGCTATGGCTTGTGCTTATGCTTCGGTTCACTGTTTACACATAATAAGTTTAAAACACAAACCTCTAAGAGACTGTCCCCAACCAGTGCCACAAGTAACTGGTGGCCATTCTGCTCTCGCACCAGGGCTGCGTTCTCCGATGCATACATGCACGTGAAGTCAAACATGGCCACATCTGGCTGACCGTAGTGATTGATGGCAAAGTCCAGTGATGGCAGCTGCTGATTAGTGGAGAAGTCAGCTGCTTCTCTGGCATAGTTTAGCAGAGCCTCCTGGTCCACATTCTCCCGCGACAGTAGTAACTCTGTGTCAGCATAATCCTGCCAAAAAAGAGAAAAGCGAAAGTGAAATAGCCAAATCCACAAGTTTATTTTAAGACTGGTATATACAACAGTTGGCATTAAAATTCCTACAAATCCACTAACAGAGGTTTGCCCTCTAATTTCTTTCATTCCTATCTGTGTTTATGCTTCCAAGAGAAAAATTTGTGAATCTTTTCTTGCAAACAGTAATCAGTCCTTTCTGACTGTGAAAAGGCCAAGAAACTCCTGAGCATTTCTCTTCACACACTTCAGACAAAAGGCACAAGACTCTAATCCTTATTTATTCATTTGCGGGCAAACTACTTTTAAATCAGCTTCTATCAGAATAAGATAAAAGACAAATTTCCAGTACTTTCTTCACTCCCTGCTTTTTGATTCCCATAAAATGAGGGAAGCTCAACTAAGCTTTAAGCATATTTAAGTTCTTTAAGCATATTTTACCTTAACATAAACAAATCTACAAAAGGGGTACAAATTTGGAGAGGACTGGTCTTATGACACTCGTCTGATGACTCAAAATACTTCAGAAGGGTAGTAACCACATATATTTGTGTTCTAAAATACATCTGTATAAAAACATTATATGAAGGAAGAAGTTTCCCTTCTTTCAGCATACTGAAAGACAATTGTCCCAAAAATGCTAGTTTACAGAGAGTATAGCAAAAGTTAATACTCACATGCCGTATCACTCCTTTTTCCAGCAAGCTCTGTTTTTTGGCAGTCATGACAAAGTAATGTGTATCATCTTTGTAGTAGACAATGTTCTCCAAGTCAATACCTTGTGACAGAACAAGAGACATGACAGTGAAGGAACAAGTTATGTGTTAAGTGCAACACGAGAGCTCTAACAGAAGAAAGTAACTTGAAACTATGCAGTTAGAAAGTCTTGGAGAGAGAACGCCAAGCAGCTTTCTTCCATGCTTTTGATGACTTTAAAATACAATCCTTCAACAAAACCACAAGCAGCACATTTCACCTGCATATAGCTACCTCTTCTAAAAAATACACTTATAATCACTCTAAGGCTTGCATTCAGATGTGGAATGCAAGAAGCTGAACCCAAGATTCAGACTCTTCCTATTTAGGGCTCAGATTTCCTGAAAACCTTCAGGGAAATAAATTCTCCACTTCTGATGAAAAATTACACACATCTGAATGATACACAGCTGCTTTTTACAGGTGTACAGAACAGCTGTAAAAATGGGGAAGTCAGGCTTCAAAGAGAGACAACAATGACTGACATCCTTGCACAATATGTTCATTTATTGATTAAATGCAATTCCTGAGTTACAAACTTGTAATAACAAAGACAAATAGTTTTCAGTGGAAATCTGGCAATTGCTGGCAAACCTGTAGCTTCTCGTAGATCTTGGAAGAACTTCTGGTTGAATATGAAGGCCACACCGCTGATCTCTTCTACTTTGGCTTCAGCTGTGGTGTTGCGATTGATGAAGTTTGCTGTGATAGCAATTGCTAGTTTACCACGGAACTCTTTTCGGCGAAACCCTACAGGAAGGATAAAGTAGTAACATTGAAGAATAGAGCAGACCTTCAGAGAAGGCTCAGCGCGCAATAGACAGGTGCACTCACAAAGTAAAAAGAGAATGGATCTGATGAATTACGAACTCCTTCAGAGAGAAAGTAACAACTGCTTCATCAGAAAAATAAAAGCACTTGTTTAGGGACAAAGCTCTTCCTATCTCTTCCAAAAACTGCAACTTGCATGAAAAATATTAAGATAGAATTCTCTACTACTCAGAATAATATTCAACACTTCAATTCCTACTCCCTAAGGAAGAGCTAAAACACTACTCAACTAAAGAAAAAATGCAAGAAAAAATATCCAGGTCAAAACACCTAATTCCTCTGCTAGTGGATAGGAAGAGGAAAAAGACAACCCATGTGTCTCTGATACAAATGGATTTTTACATGGACTCAATCTCCCTTTCACTAGTCAAATGTTTTTCTAGATTTTAATTGGGATGTTAAAGGCCAGTTTTGTTCTAACTAATTTAACACTAAGTTCTATTTGAAAGTAAATTATGGACACACCATTACCTTCTAAGGTGTTCCTCCTGCCATCCCCTCCAATGATCACTTCAAACTCATACTCAGATACTGGATGAGTTTTTGGATGGACCAATGCACGCCAACCTATTCCTGTTGATAAACTCCAAGTTAATGACAATATAAACAGTGCTCATAATAGAATAAATACACAAACACACTTCTTACTATCCATAATCCCTTCCTTACACAGTCAGTAAAGATACAGTGCAGGACATTTATATTGTTGACAGGGCTATTGCTGACTTGTACAGCCACTCAGTGTGAATCAGAGGCAGAGACAGCTCCGGTAAACTCCTCCAAACATTACCTTTAAGGATCACTAACAACCTTTATAGCTTCTCTACAATCTATTCAATTAATAGGATGCAAAAAACACAAGCAAGCCACTATCTGCCATGGTGATCAGAAAACAGGTTTCACAAAGACACAAAAAGTGTAACAAGGATCATTCACTGATATAAATGTCCTCAGTGAATGCACAGAAATGATTTGTTTTAAAAAGATATCTTCTAAGTGTAATAGGCTTAAATATTTTAGGAGCAATTATGATCCACTGTGTTTTCGTCTATTTCTGTGTGGAACTTCAAGTGATTTTCTTTTATGTAGTAACTAATTTGGATCCATCACTAGAAAGAATAAATCCTACTAAAATTCAAGAAAAAGTGTATTAATAATTACTGTCATTAATGAAGTATGAGGAAAGGATTTCGAGTCACAAGCAGGGTTAATGAGCAGGAATCTGTATCCTATCACAAACTCCCCTTTTCTCTACCACCCATTTCAATGCTACTTGCTTTCATTCTCCTGATCCTCCGGAGGGTAAACGAGCCCCTGAAATTCCACATTGACGTGGATCTCTATTCCCAAGATCAAGGCAACCTTCAAAAGGATAAGCTGGAGCTGACGGATACCTGCAAAAAAGCAGATGATAAAGAAATAAAAGAAAACAAGAGCACAAGTACACACACATCTCTCTTTGACATTACTGATGAAGTTATTTAAAGACCAGCTGCTACTTTCTTTTTTCCCCCACTGTGTTTCCAGTTCTTCATCCACTGGTATGTAATATTACAGCACGAAATCCCAGTTCTTTTCAAAGAATAAAAAGTGAATAACTTTTTAATGTTTCAGTCCCCAAAACAGCAACAAGGGAAACAACCAGAAGCTGCACTGCAGGAGAGGGAGGGAAGAAAGCAAAAGCAAGACTGCACTACTGTCAGAGATGGCAACGAGCCATTTGATCAGCCTCAGTGTAGTCCTGAACCTTCATCCTAACACCTTTGGGTTAGTGAGGGCATAGAAACCTCCTTTCTGCCTCTTTCCTCTTCAGTTAATGTAGGTAGCGGGTATGCAAATGACAGTGTGCAAACTCCATGAAATTGAAAGAAGACACCTTACTCTCATATTTCAGATACTGAAATGCAAAAATGCTCTAAATTTCAGCTGTGCTGAGATACAAAAGAGATAACATGCATCAAATACTGGAAGAATAAAAATTATGATAAATTGGAAGAGAACTTCTTTTTTTTCACTAAAAAAGTGCCATTTTTACTTTTGGACAAGAAGCCAAATATTATCTAATGTTTGTGTCCATTATAGTTCCCACTTATGCCCAGTGGAGAACACAGACTGGTGGGCAAAATAAACTGGCTGTGCCATGTCCAGTAGAGTTCTGAAAAAAAGAAAAACTGAAAAATAACTCCTGCCCCACCAAAGCTTTCAGCTTTCAAAGGAGATTGATTTCTCAGAATTTGAGAATCATGATTATTCTCAATTTTAATATGTAAACCTCTATCTAATCAAAACTTATTCATAGGCTGACAGTGCTCTTGAAAATATCCTCATCACTCTTCCAACAATTAACAAAGCCAAAATTGTTCGTCCTTTTTCCAGATCAACATTAACAAGAATGTTCAAAAGCATTCAAAAATTTTTCTTTTTTACAAGTCACTTACAATGCTCAAGAGAAACAGAATAATGTGGCAGCTGCAGGAATGTAACAGTAAACATAGGAAAATTACCCAACAGAAAAAAAATAAGTTGAACCTTAAATGTACTTTTTAGTGCAGGAAAAAGATATGCCTTGGAAAGCAACAGGTGTAACAGATGATAGATATCTACTGCCTGTGTGATAATCTCATGGCACAATGTATTTCTTGTGTAGGTCTAGCCCAAAATGCGCTATGCAAAGGTGAGGCTGAATTGCACCGTAAGGACTTGGGAGCAGTGACTGGCTCAGAGTAGGCTGAATTTTAATGAGTTACCCCATACCCCACCCACCTTTCCCCTGTGAAGAACAAGTGCTCTGCACAAGAACTGTACTTACTGATATGGTCTATGGATCCCGCACAGAATTTGCCGTAAAACTTTTTGGCGCCAAGACCCCTCAAGTCGTGTATGGTGAATGGCCACAGATGCAGCACGTTGTTGCGGGAAAAGGCATCCCTCTTTTCTATGACCACCACCTTGGCTCCCAGGAAGGACAGGTCGATGGCTGTACGAAGGCCACAGGGTCCAGCCCCAATTATCAGACACTGCAAAATAACCAGCACAGAGGAACTTTACAGTCCTAGGAGGAAATGGATATTTTTACTGCAGCTTTCAAGCATCCCACAGCTCTTAGGAGTAAGCGCTCTTTGTTTGCAGCATTAGCTGAAATTTCAGATCAGTCTTTCTATTGTTACCTGCCACGTTCTGCCACTGATATGTTAAAGCAACAACCGTAACCCGAAAATAAAGCATATCACAGAGTAGTTTGGAGAAGTAGGCAAGTAACCTGTCTGTTTGCAAACCCTGTTTTATAAAGAGCTGCCAAGGTGTACTCTAAAAGCTACGGAAGCACCTTGGGAATAGCAATATTTCTGAAGGCTTCTCCCTCCCCTATTCCATCCATCTTTTTATTTTTTCCTCACTTAAAAAAAAAGGTAATGACAAGTTTTCCTCTCATATACCAAAGTCTGAGCTGGCCTTTCTTGAGAAAATCTTCAGTAACACTAAAAATGCCTCATTATCAGTGAGCAGCATAGCAAGGGCAGACTAAGACTAATAAATGAGATACTAACATTTTTATAAACATCATCATTTAGAGTAGAACAAAAGACTGCATAGCACAGTAGCAAATTTAGAGCACTCTAACTTATGTCTATATTGGTGCTTCTACTATTGCAGCAAAGGAAACTTCAGGAAAGTAAACATAGTTTAAATAAAAACTTTGTGTGACTAGACAACTTTTATCGAAATACATTTTCTCCAACTTAACCTTTGTCATATCAAAGGTCTCTTATCTTCTCATATCTTTTTTTCACTCTAGTCACAAATACTGTAAGAGACTAATGAACAACTTGAGAATGTAAAATACTTGCATACCTAGTGTTGGAAGTACTTTCTGAGAAACAAATTATAGAGCAAGATTATTTACTTTAAAAATAAAATAAAACAAGATAGTCAGTTGACACTTCTAACCCATGGAAACTGAGGTCCACAAAGAGAGCTGACATGGGTATGTGCATTCACAGGAATATAGTACACAGTGCATTTTGTCATATCATTTTTGTACTTTGATTTCTACTGAGCGCAAACCAGACCCACAGAACAAGACACTGCTACAGTGGTGACTGCTGCTTACACATGAGTATTTTCCAGACCTTACAGACCCTTATGGCTGGACAACAAAGTTCTTTGGGAAATTTTAAAGTATCCTAGAACTAAATCAGAACCCAGCTTTCTGATAAACAGCCTATCCCAAAGCAAAGCTCTTTGTTTCGTGGCCATCCCTATTTGGCAACTTTTACAGGTCAACACATTTTTACCAGTTATTCACTGAGGCTTAAATTTCGCACATAACGTGAAACTGCAACTATACAGCCTGAATGATGACTAAAACTGTAAAGGCTGTAGCAGTGATGACATAACAACTGACATACAAATTCAAAATAAGACTACTGTGTAAGATAAGAAGTCACATAAATCTGAAGGCAAAGATCCAGGTCTCGAGGAAAGGGAAGGGAAGGATAACAGCAATGCTTCTTTAGTACCTTCAGGAACTTGAAGGCCTATGGGAGTTTTCTCAAGCCCAACCACTGAGCTATTAGCAATTAAATTCCAAAACAGACTTGTACACTGAACTGGTGTCCACCTTGTAATTTTTTAAAAGGGATAATCAATCAGGATCTTATATATTCTTCCAATTTAATCTGGTTTTCTTTGTGGGTAAGAATAACCCTCAAGCACCATGTAGCCTGTAATTTTTTAAACTTATACGAAAATTAGCTGAGTGCATCATATTTAACCAGGTAATAATTTTGTTTATTTGACAACTACAATCTTGAAAGAGACTGGATTCAATAAGCAACAAGACCATATCAAGTTGGGTGACTTCTCTTCTTTGATAACTTTCCCCATATAAGATAGTTATTATACTGTACACAACAGCAAAGGAATTGTACTAAAACCAGACCAGTCGAACTCAGGTCTATGTAACCAAATAATAAATTAACTGTAATTTTGTAACAGAAGTGTAAAAAGCATTATTTTCTCTACAACCTTCCCTCTCTACCTCCAAACAGGGATGCGGGTGAACAACACGTAAGTTATGTTTAAGACTTCAGATATTCTGGACGTAAGATGTAAGATACTCTTAAAAAACTCATGGTCAAAGTTGCCACTTTTTTACCATCACAAAACTATTAAGTTACGCTGTTGTACAACACAGCAAGTTTTAAGCACAATTAAAAAACAGAATAAAAGATTCTGCTTCTTTTCCGTTCTCTAACTGATACCAGTTTCAGGTATCATAGAAACCAACCTCCTGACACTCCAACAGGCAGCAGTGACTACAGGAGGTGCAAGGTACAGCCAAGGCAGCTACTGCTGCTCCTTGCTCCCCTTCCCCTCGATGACTCCAAGCCACTGCTGCAATTCCATGCACTAAAGCTGTCTCACCCCTCAGAAACACTTCTTGCTCAAGATCTTTCAGACAGATTATATGAAGTTTTCAGCAACAACACTATGGTCATGGAACATTAAAGGCAAACTGGAGCCCTGTGTTCTCTGTACAACCAATGAAGAGAGCACTATCTGTAACTATTTACATTTGAACAGCCCATCACATCCAAGTCTTGCTTTTAGGAACACAAATTATCTGAATTGTGGTCAACCCTGGCTGAGTGATGCACTAACTGCCCAACTCCAGCCATGGCACTTCATCCCTGACCAATTTTAAATGGGCAAGTAAGAGCTAAGCTACAGAGGATGAGAACTTCAAAACTGGTCTATGTTCAAGTGTATAGATGCTGAGCTTACTAAAGAAAAGATTGACTTCTGTTCTAATAACATGGGTAAAACCCTAACCTTTATTTTAATCTCTATCATCTCCACATGCCCACTTAAATTTCTGTATATTTAAATACACACATTAGGAATATAAATCTAAGTGAGATAAGAAATATCAAACCAGATATAATTCAGTTCTCCAAAGGCCTCTACTTTGAAGAGATAATCTTAACTATTAGGAATTACATATAGACATTTAATGACAGATGCTATTTGGATAGGAAACAGAAACATATATGAAAAATATAAAAAGAACACATACATACGTAATTTCTTAATTATCTTTTAATTTCATTAGAAACAAAGTTTATATGTAGAGTCATACAAAAACTATTTGTCATCATAGGTATGTTATTTAAGACATACCAACAACAACAACAACAGCTAAACTAAATTTCACTTCCTCTCAGTTATGAAATTCACTACTCAAAATTATTTGAATCCCAAATCCAGTCTTGTATGTTTCTGGGTTGAGGTGGGGGTAAGGTGTGTGGCACCTTTAATTCATTCACCATCCTCCCTTTTTACTTGTGTTTCTATACAGCATCTCACCAACAGCTTCTTAGAAACACTGCCAAATTATGCTCTGGATTGCCTCCACTCCTCTTCCTCTTTTCCTTTACTCTTGTTATTCTCCTTGCCATGTACACAGCACAGCAGCTATGCAATCAACTGTCCCCTTCCTCTAGTAGAGACCAACTCGGCACGGTCATGTCCACCCCAACCATACCTCCTTCCACCCCTCTGGTAACTCACACCACCACGAGCCCATTCTGAGGTTTCTCTCTCATTAAATGAGGAAGAGCCATGCAGGACCCTGTGAGTCTCACCATTTACCTCACCACCACTTCATCTCCAAGATCACTGTGTGCCACTTGTACAATCATTCTCTTGATCTTCTTTCTCCAATTCCACCCTACACTCTCTCAAGCTTGGCTTTGGTGCATGAAGTATGCTAAGCCTTTGGACTGTACAAAACCTCTAGCAAGCTCCCCTTAGTCAAACATCACTCCCCGTACGCTTTACCCCTTTTACCTATTTTTCAACTGCACTTGAAGAAACATTTTACAGACAGTTGGTCATATGCATTTCTTCAAAGCATGTCCTTTTCTGATTTCTTTTAAGACTCAGTAGTACTCTGTCTCCAGCTATTCTTTCAGAGCACGATCTGAAGGACTTCCCTCAGTTCTCCCAGTCCTCTCACTGCCAGCTCTTTCTTTTCTTCCTTTGCATTTTGCCTTTGCATCAACTCATTCACAAGCACTGCTTCAATCAGCTGTCAGTCCCGTAAAGTCACAGAACTTCTTCCAACTCAGAGTTGTTGTATCCAAACTACAGTCTACCTTTCTGCCACTGCCCCCTGGCTGTGTAGTTGTCGGTTTCAAGCCCAACAGGATAAAACGGAGCTCTAGTTTTCCTGCTAGATCAGTGTCACAATTAGTTTTCTGAATGTCTTTCATAGCTGGATGTAAACCTCCACTCAGATCTATTTTTTTCCTGTCCTTAAAATCAAGCAATATCCAAGTCATACACTTCTCTTTCATTAAATCCCTTATCTCATGTTGCATCTCTATTACAGAAGCAATGTTGTCTTCAGTGCTAACAAATGCAGTCTTGCCAACTAAGATATATTCAGAGCCCAGATGCAAAATTACTCTTTCAGTCTATTACTTCAAGTCAAAATACCTCTACTTTAGTCTACATCTTCCTCATTCAAATTCTCATCAAAACATAAGCCACCTGCCTTCATTTCACAGCCTTTAAAACCCTATTTCACTTCCATTCATCATGTTTCATTCAAAATAAGAGCAATTCTTGAATCCAACAAATGCAAGGCACAGAGTTTTCAGAAAAACAATTTTGAAATTTTCCTGATTATGTTCATAGTGCTTGGAAAGTTTATTCTTAAATATACACAAAAATTACTACCTTTCTCTTTCTGTAAGTTGCCTTTTTTCTTATGCTGCCTGAAAAATATAAAACTTAAGTGGCTGGACTTTTGAGGTGTTGAACCCTGATGACCAACACTGCCCAACTGCTTTATTGTTTTCCAAGCTAACCTATATGCACCTGCTATCTATAATCTGATGTATCAATAGTAAACTTTATGAGGAAAGCTTTTTTTTTATGAGACCTAGGACAAGCAGACTCTGGTCCATTAGTAATTTTTCCAAGGGTTATATTATAGTAATTAATTATAAATGCCACTTCCCATATTAAAGTGGCCATGGGAAAGTGAAATAGATTCAAGAAAATAAAATAACTTTCTAACTTCTAGTTAGGAATTAAACTTCATTTCACAAATATGAAAATGACTGACATATACTGAATAGGATATTATTTCCCCTTCAGTTCTCTACTGAGGAATTAGGCATTAATTCCTCCTGTTAATTAAGATATTGCCTTCTCCCAAAAGGTGAATATTCAAGAAAAGTATCTACTGTCCTCAGTTAAAGAGGATAGAATCTTGTTCTAATTTTATCATATTCTGCACTGTGAGTATATGATTATTTGCAAAAGTAACGTATCTCATTCACATTTTTATGAATGATATAAAGAAGTACTTTCAGTAGCAACAAAACAGACAAATAAGTTCATGCTGTACAGTCCAACAAGGGTGCAGCACAGAAACACCAGCTCATAGTAACTCGAGTAAAAAAAATTTGGGTGTGTGTGTAAAAGCAGGAATTCCTGCAGTAAATACCACACATACTGACCTTCTAAAAGGAATTGGTATTAGTTTCCACAGCACTTTTAAATCTCTGAACCCAGAATACAAGTGAATGCTTTCTAAATAATGGTAAATTGAATATTTTACCAAATTGGCAGGAAAGTTCTTTTTTTTGAGTAATGAGAATTTTCAAAGTTTCCAAACATATATATGACAGAAAATTTCACATCATTGTCTAGCAAAAAAATACAAAAAAAGCCTACCAAGATTAAAGGTTTACCAATGAAGATTTTTCTAACTCGATCCCACCTATAGCACCGATGCCACAAAAACATAAGCCGCAGAAACTTGCAGGCTGCTTCTCCTGAATAAACTACCAATATTCTGATATTCCCAAGGATTTCCATTTAGCTTCCCCTATTCAGGTGGGCAGTCAAATTTGGTAGTAGCAAACACATTTTTTGATGAAGAGTCAAATGTGACAATAAATAATACATGTAAGAACATCCCTAAACCTTCCCTAGGCTTATACTGACACCAGGCAAACATCTTCCTACATCCAGATATTTTTACTGTGTATTCCAGAGACAAATCAGGCAACAGATGTCTTGAGCCCTGTGAATAAACCTCTTGGATAGGATAATTTTCCTTACCTTCGTGTTGGCGCATGCTTTCCCCTTCTTATAGTCCTTATGGCTGCCTCTTTTATCCAATTTGGCCCACAAAGCTTTGGCTTTCCAGTAATTGAGCTTGGACTTGAGCTTGTGATAGAAAGAACGGTAGTCCTTGGGCTTTAGTTCTAGGTAGTCACAGAGCTCCTGGAAAGCCTTCAGAGTCCCCTTGCAGGTTGAAGCCTGGACAAATCTGTCGAAGAGCACGTGAGCCTGGTTCACCTTCTCATTTTTACCTTCTTCCATGCTTCACACTTGGCAGCTGCCCTGGGGGGCAGCTGTTCTCTTCCAGTCTGCCAGATTTCCTCACGTTGCTCTGCTGAGCCACTTTCACCTCTGACTTACAAGCATTATTAACCTACAAAATAAAAAGAAGAAAATGTAATTGCACTTGCTCTATTTAAAATTTTGTTTTATTTCCCAAAATGTCATCTAAGCTTGCTGAACTGAGAGCCCAGATTCTCATTAACTAATAACGCATCAGTCCTATATGAGTCAAGTGATCAATACCCCATGGAATCCTGCCCAAGCTGACTTGAAGCAGAGCCTTCCAAAGCTCACCGAGTCTTACTGCAGTCAGTGGAACATCTTGCCTCTTAAATCACAAAACACTTTAACTGAGACAGTCCCTAGAAAATTTTATCAAAACTCCTTTCATATGAACAAGTAAAGTGGCAGATTTTATGCATTTTGGAGGCAGGCAGAAATTTTGAAACAAAAGATAAGATTTACTAATGTAGCAGTGACTGTGATAACCATATCACTGCGTTAACACCACAGCAATGGTTATGTGCTGGTCTTAAAAACACTACTCCCACAAAGTACTTTAAGAGTTGGCATTGCAACAGTAAAATAAATGTTGGTTCTTTCACTCCAAAAGGACATGTGTCTTTGCTCCTGATAGAGAAAAGGAAAGAGGACAGCACAGCACAAGCTGTCGGAGTCCTGGCAAACACTGCTTTTGTACAGTGACATAAACCCAACAACGGCTACTGCAATCCTAGAAAGAAGTTAAACCCACTAATAGCAATCAAATGCTTAAGAAAAGATGTCCTGACTGAAAAAAAAATGCCTGTCTGTGTTGCATCAAGCAATATAAACATTTTCCTTACCAAGAGCCTATGCATATATTCCTGCCTCAGTAAGTAAGCAGCGTAAGAGCGAAATGTGGCTGACGCATGATCCTCATGCAATTCTCATACTAGATCTTCTTCTCAGTGGTTTTACAATTTTGTTTGATATGCAGGTCCCTACAAATTTTTAGGTGTTAGCTGGGGTCATCAACAGATTAAACATGCCAATAGGAGGTCTGCTACTCTTAGTTGCTTTTCTGGGATCCCTCAGAAGTAGCCTGCAGACCTACAGGAACGAATTGTCTGGATCACAAATAGCAAATTTTGTTTAAAGAACAGGTATTTTCTTTCTCTCTCTCTTTATTTTATATATATAATAAATCTTTCTTCTTTTTATACATAACACTAAGTACATACATGTAAAAGATAACCCTGCTTGCCAAGAAAAAACAGTTCTCTTTTGTCTTCACATAGGAGGGCAGCATGGGAACATATCTGAGAACTATGGAAGTGAAAACAACTCTGAGGTGCTTCTTGTCCTGTGGGGTTTTTTTTTTGCAAAGGGTATTAAGGTAAAAAGGGAAATATGTGGACTCGGATAAAACCTTTTAGATTCTCACCAGCTCTTTTCCTGCTTCCAGCAGACAGGAAGCCAAGTCAAACATTACAGCTCATGTCTCTTCCCCTCCCAAATGACAGCTCTGCAGCAGTTTATTTGGGCACTCCTGCATTTCACTCTAATACGTTATTTATCACTTACATTTAGAAATGGCAAAGGAGACCTGGAAACCTTTACATACAGCCACAAACTGCTTAGGATTAAAAATAAAAATCAAATTTCCTACAGAAGCCACAGTACAACACTGGGTTATACCAGAGAATGTGATTCTGACTTTATTAGGACAACTGCCCTAGAGGACTCAGTACAAATGAAGCTGTTTTTCTAACTGGCTGACAGTGATGCCATGTCCATATCAGTACTGCTCCCTAAGGAGGATGGAACTGACTGCTTTTCTTATTTTTAATCTTAACTCCACTCTTGTGAAGCTGGAAACGTGCTCCAGGCTTGTAACTCTGGGTAACTACTGCAGAGGTCTAAGATGCTATGTTTTAAGCCTGTGTCTCCACTTCTGTTCTCAAGAAGAAAAGAGCTCCAGCAAATCACCTCTTACACTGAAGGAACCACTTCAGCGTGTCTGTGTAATACAGATAAAACAAAATACCTGCAGTGTAAAGTCATATGCCTTATTCATCAGCAAAACATTGCAAGTTGAATACTATTTTGTGTTATGTTTCCCTCATCTCATGCACCCCACTTTACCACCCAAACACACACTTTACATCAGCGCTTCAGGTGGCTGACACTCCTAAGAAAAAGCAACAGACATGGTACAACCTTAATTCAGTAGAGTGGCAATTTAAGTCCGTCAGTCCACAGTCCATTACTGCTATATCCAGATGTAAGGACACCATAGGTTTCATTTCTTCCTCTTGCTTCTCACTCTTTCATCGCAGGAGTGAAGCAGCACTGGTTCTGCACCGCTCAGAGAGATCCCGAAGTTAAAATTCAACCTACTTTCATTCTAGGAACTTACTGCTTTGTACTCAAGGTTTGCCAAATCAAGAGACAAACCTGCAAAAGCAGGTCATTTCACACAGCACAACCTGAGCAGCACGTTAATGTAGCAGCTCTGCCGCCATCCCATTTCACATGGGCTGTGAAGTCAGTTATGCCGACAGGTCAAATATAGAGGCTTCAGTCACCGCCATTAGTCACTGCCCAGAACTCTGCATTCTTGATGTGAACACCCAAAGCCTTTGGCACCCACAGGCAACACGTCAGAGAACATGGAAATTACAGGAGGCAAAGCAAGGGCAGGCAAGAATTATTTGCCAGGTTTCCAGGGTATTCATGTGCCTTGCTGGCTATTCTGCAAGTCTGCAGTATCCTGCGTGTTTTGTCTCGAGGCAGCTGATTGCTGACTCAGAAGTGCTGTAAATTCCTTGGCTGAAGCGCTGGGAGAGAAAAAGACAAAGCCTGCGAAAAAACTCATGCAAGAACAGCGCTCATGTTGCTATTTACAATAATAGCATGAGGTTCTCACTGACTCACGACTGCAAATACGCTCAGGATCTCCAGCCTTGCCCAGGACTGAAGAAACCAATGAAAAACAAAGACGCAGGCAATGAATAATTCCAGGTGCTGGTTCCTTCCTCCAGCCACCACGGATGCAGGAACATGAATATTTTACCAAAAACATACACAAGAAAGAGCCCACTGCCCTACTTCTGTCAAATGCAAGAGATAGGAAGAGACTTTGCAAATGCCACCCATAATTAATTCGGTTGTACAAAATCAGGCTTCTGCAGGAAGTGTTGCAGAAGTGTATAGGGCTCCTATATTCCAGGTTAATAAACCTCCTTTAGAGGAGTCACTCCCTCCTACACTTTCCATCCTGATCTTGTTAAAAGTGCCCATTCAACTAATGACTTGAACCTGGAAAAATAAAATCTTATGGGAATGTATTTTCCAGCATTTTTCTCCTTTTTTTTTTCCTGTGGAAACTATTGAATTAGTTCAATCTACATTCACAGCTTGTTCTGTCTAGCTTAAAACAGCATTTCGAGTGAATAAAACATTTGCCAAGGTAACTGCCCAGCTCCGGTTCAGAATGCTGAGTCTCTCTGAGCACAATGTAAATATTTTCTTATATTTCAGTTATTTCCCAGCCAGCCAAACACCAAAGATGCATCCTTGACGGACAAATCTCCAAGAAGTCAGAGATCAACAAATTGTAGTGCCATATGAAATCTGAAAGCAAGTTGGTCCATCAATAATAAAGCTACTGATAGCTCCAATAGCCCCAATTCCCATTTATTTCAGCCTTTCCCTAAAATTTCCGGATGCCAGCAACATTCCCTACGCCCTGATCTCCTTTTCATGGCCCCTCAGCTTCGCCTAAGTGAGACTCAGAACATTCTCTAGAAACTCTGAGATTACTGCAGTACCTCAGCAGCCAGTACACACTTGCAACTTGGCTAGCAAAAGCCTAAGCACAGATTATTGTTAAGCTCATGCTGCAGACAGTGGGGACACCTATTTTTGTCTCTCCAGCCTCCAGCTTTCTTGCAGGAAATCAATTACCTTTGAGACTTCTATTCCCCACCAAATCTGGATGAAATTGTTCAAAAGTTATTAAGGATGAACTGAAAAGCAGATGGACAAACAGCTCAATCCTGTAAGCCTCCCTTCTTTAGGAAACCACACTAAAAAAAGGCTTTATTCCAACAAATTAAAAACTCTGTTTTCATTTCCAGGATTTGATTTCCGTTACTTGTAGATGAAACTAAAGAAATGGAATTTGCTACAATGCGTTCACAACTTTCCAAGTGATCATGGGTATCAAAAAGGGCAGGTTTTGGGCAGCAGTAAGACTGTAGAACAGACAGCCAAAAGAGGACCATTTTTACAAGAAAAGTTAAAGCAAGAACTGGCTCCATATTATGCAGACAAGGAATGGGAAAGCAGAGGACGAAGGCGTGGTTGCCATTGTTTGCAGCTTCCCTTTTGTACCAGATGGAAAAAAGGAACGTCAGCATGGTCCACAGTGTGCTTTAAGATGTATTTAGATCTGCTCCCATTCATAATGTTCAACATTTAAGCAAATACGCTGGCAAAAAGATGTTAGTGCTTGTACACTTAAACCTGATTTGGTGGGCTTCTGCCCACTACATGGGAGTCAGTCTTTTGGGTCTCCACCTCTTTCCTGTCTACCTCTCCTTCCAAGCCAGGACAAAAGTGGGAGAAAGAGAGATCAAATATGAACTTGGTTGCAAATACAAGAACCCATTCTTAAGGAGAATATCAAAGCACAAATACAAACAGTTCACAGAATTCTCACATGAAGAAAAACACAATCCAGTAATGATTTGAAAAGAAATGCAAATTATACCTCAGAACACAGAAACGTAGAAATACAGAAGTACTTAAATGTATTGTTTTGGTTCTTAAATTCAAAAATCAAGGTACTGAATAAAAATGTCTATGTTGTTCATTACTAACCATTTCTTAGAGTGCCACAACGTGAGTACTTAAAACATTACACCTACAAAATAAAACCTTTTGTCTCTATGAATTCAACAAACATACTATTCTGCTCCTGTCATACACGACTCTTTGATCACAGCAGAGTCCCTATGCTGAATGAACACCAACGCAGAGAAAGAGGCCAAAAACCAGATTCTCTCTCC